GGCCGACTTAGGCACATCTATTTCTTGGGGGATGTATAGGCACGACTGTGCCACAGTAGGAGGCCTAAAAGAATGCCTCAAACTAATGTTGATGTAGGACGAAATTTGTCTTAATTTTAAAGCCCCAGTCAGACTGTTGCCAGGGACCATAATTTAACCCAGTCTATGGGTTGAAAGAGGTTTTTAGGGCCATTCCTTAGGTGATCCTCACCCGAATAGTGGCACTTTACATCACCTGATGTTTATCGTGTTCGATATCCTGGTGGTGTAAAACGTCAAGTCAAGATTAATTAGTTAGTTAGTTTACTCGTTACGGTTCCTGCATCACAGCAAACGAGCTTGGCCCATAATTGCTCCACCGCCTATGCCAGTGATTCTGAGTCAGATACGCTGGATACTTCAAGTGAATGCCGTAGCCATATAGTGTCCTCATTCAGCAAAACACACACGATTTGATCTGGCAAACCAGAAGGTGCTTGCCTCCTTAAACACACTGCGAGACCAGGCGTCGTTGCTGAAAATCAACTTCATTCGACGAATAACTGGGTGGTGAGTAGATTAAAACTATTCCTGACTATTCTCCACAAGTCCTCGGCCAAGTTGCAGCCACAGTCAGCAAATAAATAGCAGCTATAGCACACGCCTTGTACCAGGAACACAGCGAAGAAAAATACATCATCCACATTGCCACTATTTGCGATTCTAGAACTCGGTCAATAACCGATCATCACAGCTCATAATGCCGCCAGGAGCACTAAACTCAGTAGCTCCAGCTGCAAACCGGATTTCCACAATCTTGCAACATCGAAACAGAAGGAGAAATGGCGACGAGAACAACCAACGTAAGCAAACAAACACTACAAGCTCGTAACAGAAATTGAGTTCATCAGTCAACACTCAGAGATGACAAGGAACAACAAAGTTAACCACAAACACTACAAGCTCGTAACAGAAATTGTGTTCATCAGTCAACACTCAGAGATGACAAGGAACAACAAAGTTAGCCACAAACACTAAAAGCTCAAAACAGAAATTGTGTTCTTCAGTCAACACTCAGAGATGACAAGGAACAACAAAGTTAACCACAAACACTACAAGCTCGTAACAGAAATTGTGTTCTTCAGTCAACACTCAGAGATGACAAGGAACAACAAAGTTAGCCACAAACACTACAAGCTCGTAACATAAATTGTGTTCTTCAGTCAACACTCAGAGATGACAAGGAACAACAAAGTTAGCCACAAACACTGCAAGCTCTTAACAGAAATTGTGTTCATCAGTCAACACTCAGCGATGACAAGAAACAGCTAGGTTAGCCACAAACACTACAAGCTCGTAACAGAAATTGTTTTTACCTGTCAACACTCAGAGATGACAAGGAACAACAGATTTAGCCACAAACACTACAAGCTCGTAACACAAATTGTTTTCATCAGTCAACGCTCAGAGATGACAAGGAACAACAGATTTAGTGGAACCAGACTATTTTAAATTTAAAAAAAAAATGACCTTGGCACCAAGTCGACCCAGCCTTGAGTGGGTACCAGGTACAGTCCTGTGAAGTAAAGGCGACCGGTGTGGTACTGATCATCTCATCCATCAATTTCTGAGTCGTCTATAAAATATCGGTCTAGTCCTATAAGCCAAACACACCTGACGGCTCAAAAAAAAAAAGTATCCTTCACTACTGACATGACTGGATGATCTGCTGATATTGACATGACATGAGAATATTCTTGGACAATGGAAGATTGGACAGAGAAATGGTAAACAGACGACAGAAGACCAGCAACAGGAAATTACCAAAAAGCGCCACTTTTGAGACATTAACATACCAAAAAGGATATACAAAAGCTTTATGCTGTCAATGCCACACATGGACAGTGCTAGAATAACATAAACGCTCAATTACGACATGTGAGGAGGTTACAACAAATGCAAAAGGGGGGAAAATGGGGGGAAAAAAAAGGGGGGGGGGGAATCAAGAGGGGATAGTCACTAAAGAATAAATCAGAACAACGGTAGGCAAAATTCTAGTGAAGGGTTTCAAAGAACATAAAAGACTTAAGTGGACTGGTCATCTGGTCAGAATGGAACAAAGTCGACAAACAGCTAGAGCTAGAGTGTACTACATGATAACAGCAGGCTACAGGGCAAGAGGCTAACCAAGAAAGAGGTGGCTGGAGGGAGACACCGAGACACTTCAGAAATGCAGTATGACGGTAGCACAGTCTACGCAACTAGCAATAGACAGGAAACTAAATCTTACTCTTCCTGCAATGCATAAGCAATAAAACAAAAGACTGACATGACAAAACTGAACACAAGTGTCTGTGACATCATCATCATCATCTCCTGCAGGATGTATCAGTTCGTGTGCCGACACACCTCCATGCCATGCAACAAGACTGTCAAGAATCTTCTCTCGTTGTCTTCCTCCATCCCTCCTTCCACAAATCTTTCCAGTGGTCACAACATGTTTATTTTTCTTACTGTTTTGAGGCATGATTTACTAGGTATAATACATCGTTGGTTTCCTCTTGCCTTCTACCGGTGTGTATATGGTTTTACTCTAATAGCTTTTGTCTAAAGAGACTTACCCTGCAAGGCAGCTGACACACGTTAAAGAATTAGGCATCACATGGGGAAGTCCCACTAAAAGAGACGCCAATATCTGCACGGGCTAGGACTGGGTTTAGTTTGGGCGAGCATTCTGAGATGTTTGCGTCCATGTCAGCAACAGTCAGGTACTGTCAAAAACATATGAGATATTCAGGTCGTACTCTCGCATGGTTGTGTTTGTCAGCTGTTCACTCATTTAATGTACATTTTAATGTAATGATTTCTTTTCTAAATTTCATATCAACACATATGTGCCCGACTATGCGATAACATGTTCTGGGTATTTGATGGTATGTCGTGCCACTAAGCCCCGCTAAGCCGACCGAAGCAGTCTACCTTACCGGCCAAATTTGCCAGTAGAGCCTTAGTTAGTTAGTTAGTTAGTTAGTTAGTTAGTTAGTTGGGTTATCATCATTGCACTCCGGACATGTCCATAGGTGCTCAGTTCCTCCCCTCAGTATGAATCCCAACGTCCGATGGCTAATAGTACCAGTTCTATGTTGATTAACAAGTCTTCTGACGTGTCCGGTGTGCGTCTCGTTTTTTGCTGTGCCGATCTTAATTCCCAAGTCTGCCATCCTGGCGAGTGATGTGGATTCACTGCCACCAAAGTCCTCTATCCTTCCCATTTCTCTGAGGGCATTGATAATATCAGCATGATCCATAGGCCGACCGTCGGTAGTGATAGCGGATCCAGCCAACCTGTCAGCTCTTTCATTTCCATCGACGCCTGCGTGTCCCCGGAACAAAAATAAAGGTGACTCCTCGCACAGTGGACTTCTGAATTGATTCAAGCCATTGTCTTCGCACCGAACCTGCCTGAACCCTCCTGATCATACTCATTGAATCACTGAGTATACATATGCGGGTGTATTTTTGCGTTTCAAGCCAGGCAAACGCTTGCGTCACTGCCATCACCTCCATCGTCATGCTGCTGGTTGTCATGAAATAGGCGCCGTTGGCTTCTTTGACTGTTCTGCCCGCTGAGCGTGCTGTAAATGCCCATGCGCTTCTTCTTTGGCGTATAACGGATCCGTCTGTATAGATTAGTGCATCTGCTTCGTCTGAATTTTCACCGATGAGAGCGTTGACCTCTGCATTAACAGCAACAGGATTCTCTTCTCTACATCGACTGTTGAGTGTGACAATACAGGAAAATGTACAAATAAACGCCTGAGGCACAGGTATCCATTCTGCACCAGGTATGATGTCGGTTAGGCTGCATATTTGCCTAATAACATCTTCTGCCCGACCTAGCCACGATTTTCCCCTCTTCAGTCTGTCGCCCTTTTCACTAAAAAGCGCTTGATGCAGTGGGTGTTTCTTATCAGCACATATTTTGAGTAATGCCCGAGCCCTCCACATCCTGATCCTTTGGTTCATTGTTGGAAAGTCAAGTAAATACCTCATTGCTCCACAGGATGTGTCTCTTGTACATCCCAAAATAATACGCATGGCTTCATTTTGCACCTTCTCGAGTCGTTCAATCTGGGTAGCACTGACAGTGAGGATGGCCAGAGCGTATTCAATGGGGGAAAGGACCAGACCGTAGAATAGAAGCACCAGCAGTCTTTGCTCGATATTGGAAGCAGCCATAATCCTCATTGCAGATAGACCTTTGCGTGCTTTTGTTATCACATGGTCAACGTGTTCCCTGAATGACAAGCTGCGATCGAACCTCACCCCGAGAAACGTCATAACGTTGGTTCTGATCAATACATTATCACGCATTTTCACTTCTGGTAAGTCCGACTTGACAATGTGATTGTAGAGCCTATATATATATATATATATATATATATATATATATATATATATATATATATATATATATATATATATATATATGTTTCGGCCATGTTATGAGAAGAGGGAAAATAGAACATGTTGGTGACCACTGGAAAGATCTGTGGAAGGAGGGATAGAGGAAGACAACGAGAGAAGATGCTTGACAGTCTTGTTGCATGGCATGGAGATGTGTCGGCACATGAACTGATACATGCTGCAGGAGATCGCAGATTATGGAGAGGTATGATCGCCCACGCCAGTCGGCAAGGCACCTGATGATATATTCTTTCAGGTAATTTTAAGTAATGCATTTTTGATACCAATTAATAATGCACACTCAGTTGTGTTTTAAACATCTGCTTAGTCAGTTACAATCCTCTTTAGTGTCTAAATGTCATCTTCCCAGGTGGTGATGTTTTAGTGTGAAATTACTCTACAGACGCTCCGCGACTTTTTTTTTGCAAGATGATCTCCAAACAGTCTTCCTGCCGACGCCAGAGATTGTGAGTAACAGTTCAAAGAAACACCTACAAGTGTACTCTACTGAAACACCTGACACGATCTGCTGAAGAACTACTAGAGGCACCAATATGGGGGAATTGCTGCAACTACTGAGGACGTTCGTCCACCTGGTCGAGTCGGACACGAATATAGAGCTGGGAGAGAAGAGTGAATTCCTGAGAGGAACCTTCAGCATCCTGGAGCTAAATGAGAACAGCAAACAACAGCTGGACGAGCTCAAGGTCAGTCAGCAACACTGTAGTGTCGAAGTACTTGTCTGTCATCTCACGTGCTACACTGTAGTGTTTAAGCACTTGTCTCCCACGCCCTGTGCCAGACTGTACTGTTTAAGTACTCGTCGTTTACCCTGTGCCAAACTGTGTAGCATTTATATACAAGTCTGCCACTCCAAGTGCTAAAGTGTAGTGTTTAAGTACTTGTCTGTTATATCACATGCACACTGTAGAGGCTAAGTAATGATCTGCCCCTATAAATAAGGAATTTAACAAGGAGACAGCTGGTTGTGCAAGTTCTTGTCACTCTCTCTGAGGTGTTAATGCCGTAGAGGTGTAGGGTGTGTTCTTTCTATTGTTGCAACCTGTCAGGAGTTTTTCTTCTTCTTCTTCTTCTTCTTCTTCTTCTTCTTCTTCTTCTTCTTCTTCTTCTTCTTCTTCTTCTTCTTCTTCTTCTTCTTCTTCTTCTTCTTCTTCTTCTTCTTCTTCTTCTTCTTCTTCTTCTTCTTCTTCTTCTTCTTCTTCTTCTTCTTCTTCTTCTTCTTCTTCTTCTTCTTCTTCTTCTTCTTCTTCTCTTCTCTTCTTCTTCTTCTTCTTCTTCTTCTTCTTCTTCTTCTTCTTCTTCTTCTTCTTCTTCTTCTTCTTCTTCTTCTTCTTCTTCTTCTTCTTCTTCTTCTTCTTCTTCTTCTTCTTCTTCTTCTTCTTCTTCTTCTTCTTCTTCTTCTTCTTCTTCTTCTTCTTCTTCTTCTTCTTCTTCTTCTTCTTCTTCTTCTTCTTCTTCTTCTTCTTCTTCTTCTTCTTCTTCTTCTTCTTCTTCTTCTTCTTCTTCTTCTTCTTCTTCTTCTTCTTCTTCTTCTTCTTCTTCTTCTTCTTCTTCTTCTTCTTCTTCTTCTTTCTTCTTCTTCTTCTTCTTCTTCTTCTTCTTCTTCTTCTTCTTCTTCTTCTTCTTCTTCTTCTTCTTCTTCTTCTTCTTCTTCTTCTTCTTCTTCTTCTTCTTCTTCTTCTTCTTCTTCTTCTTCTTCTTCTTCTTTTGTCGTCTCACTGTTACCGGGTTGTAACCAAGTGTCGTAGTTTTCTGTATTTGTCTTTCGCTTCTCGGGTGGCTTGAGTGATGGATTTGTTCAACTTTTTTACAGGTTTTTTCTACACCATTTATCCTTATCTTTCTTGGTTTTCCTCTCGCCTTCTTGCCAGATGTTCGACTGTAAAAAGTCTCATTTGCATCTGTTTTGGTTGCATTCTCACTAGATGGCCAAACCAATTCATTGTTTGTCTGTCAGGAGTTAATGTCTTAATATTTTATGTTTCGCCATTTCTGCGTAACTATTTGGCATCAGCTAAGTAAAAAAAAAAATATGTATCTTGTAACTAAAGTTATCTGGGAGGAGATATCATCCATGACAATTCGTTTCTTGTGCCAGTTTGATGTGTCTCTGTCACTTTCTGTCAAATGTCCATGCAGTCCTAGATACTATCGTATCCCAGTTGTTCTCCTCTAGGTGTTTTTGTCATGAGTGAATCAAGGAATGTCCCTGTGATGGCACCATATCTTTGTAGCCGGCAGGCGAGTAGGTAACCCTGTGATAGCACCATACCTCTATATCCCATTCCACACGTATAAAGCGATTTGATGAGCGTTACACCGGT